ACAGGCATAAAAAATTCCTAAAAAAAAAGCGATGATTGTGTTTTCTAAAAAAGCTGGTTTTCCTTTCATGATAAACAAACATTTTCACAAGTTGATTTATTACCAACTCAACTTATGTATGGTCACTTTTTGAAGAAAGATCAACTTTATCATATTCAGTGTCCTACAGATGAAGAAGAGAAATTCATTGAATCATCCCTTCTATTATTTTTGGTAGCATTTTTTTGCACATCTTGGAACGATAACAGCAGTTTATTTAGAATTTCTTTTTCTCTATCTCATCTATATGTTCTTTTGGCATCATAGATATGCGAAACAATAAGAGAAAATACGAGTGATTTTCTCAAAGGACGTAGCGAAGGTAAACATATTTTCTCTCTGAGACACATCTTGTTTACATTTTCTAACTGTACGTTGTCCGAAGATGGGAGCAAGCAAATAATAATAAATAGAGATCTACAGGAAGGAAGCTGTCAGATTTGGTCATCATATATTCAGTCGAGGAAAGTTTCAATTATACCCTTTGATTTTTTTGTTTTTTATTACTATACGTTTTTATCTATTAACAACCTACTATATATAAGAAGAAAACCCAGAATCCACTGCATCTTTTAGTATATTTACATTGAACATCAAATGCAGTTAAAAGTATAAATAGTGTATTACAAAGAAAAAGGACCTTTTTTTTGAATTCCATGGTGTCCATAATGTTGTAAATTTTTTATTTCGCATATATCTTGGTTTAGGTAAATGATAAAAATTCGAATTTTTTTTTCGAAAGATGTGTCGTCAAAAGCTCTACAAAACTTGTATGGACCAAATCCTATAGCGAATCGGAAAAGTTCTCGAAATATTTTCTATACGATGGGAAGTGACACTACCACCCATAAATTGTTCATTTTGGGTATAAGAAAAACCATCAGAACAGATAAAATGGAATTCGATCATATAGCTTTTGTAGAGCTTTTCGTGGCACATCTTTCGAAAAAAAAATCCAATGTTTGATCATTTATCCAAGCCGAGATATACATGCAATATAAAAAAAATGTTACAACATTATGGACACCCGGTTTTGGTAATAAAAAAAATTTTCTTTTTTTCCTAATACGCTTTTTATATTTTAAACTGCATTTGATGTTCAACGTAAATATAATAAAAGACGCAGTGCGTTCTGGGCTCTCTCCCTATATACAGTAGGTTAATAGACAAAAAACGTATAGTAATAAAAAACAAAAAATCAAAGAATATAATTTCAATTTTCCTCAACTGTATATTTATATATAGACATATTGATCAAATTATATCTTCTTTAGTTCTACTATCATGCCTGAATGCGTATACATTCTCTTTTCTAATATATTCAGCTACATTTGTTTTCTTTCTCTTTATTCCTTTAGCGATCATGTATGTTCTCTCTCATATGCTCTAGTGAGTTCTCATGTGTTTGTTACGTTCTAGTAAATGCTTTCCCTTTCCACTATTTGAAATAATAACACATTGTATAAATGCAATCATATTACACTTTTCTCTCGTTCATAATGGGTTAGTGGTTGACTATTTTTACAATAGTGAACAAATAGCAAGTACGTTTCTATTAAACCATCATTCAAATATATCGACAATAAAAAATGAGATGACATACTTACAATGTCTTAACAGTATTATGAAATCTGAAATCAGATGAATTATTCAGTGACTCATCATCTTCAATCAGTTGTGGGGTGCAGGTGTGGATGTCAATGTTTCTCTTCCCTCTACTGAAGCATGCACAGTGGACAGCAGGCAGTCCACACCTATATCCCAGATTTTTAATCAGTGACAAAATATGCCTCGTTCAAAAGAGGTTTTTCAAAATATCGTGGGTGTTGGTTTCATATTTCAAACAGATAAATGTTATGAAAAAGAGCTCTACCGATGGTCGATGATGCATTGTTCTTTGTTCAACAAATCTGTGCTTCACTCTGTTTTTCTTACTATCATATCCATTAGTCAAATTCATCATTTCCTTAATCTTTTATTTCATTTTCTGTATCATCTTTACCTTCTTACTAAATGAAAATATAGCTAACATTCTTCCGTTTTTATACAACAAGTAACAAGGAGTAGGATGAGTTTGTCAAAAATTAGTTCCTGAAAATGTTTCTTTATTGAGATGAGCAAAGAAAATTTCTATAAAAACATAATAATCACCTTTTTAGAGAAACTTGTTATTTGTGAAGGTTTCTCTAATTTATGACTCCAACCAATGAGCAAAATATGAACTCAAACGGAATGAATTGGCTGGTGAAAGTTTACTCATTAGTGTTTTCTTTCTGAATTATACCTGTTATATTGATATTTTCCTATAGATCAGAGTATACTAATAAGTCAAATGATGGTATTTTGACCTGATATTTTACTCTCATACATGTTTCATAGTTATTAAAATATCATAAAGTTTCTAGTGAAAGCATGCATGTCTCTTGTAGGATAACAATGAGAAATATTCATGATCTAATTAGAAGATTGTTGCAATGCAGCGCTACTGGCATTGTTTTGATTTCGAAATGATTCGAAAGTTTTGTCTTTATAGTGTATTTGTGACTGATAACATGTCATCAAAGAATCTGTAAGATAGAGATGATAGTAGTTTTGATCATGTAGTAAGAGCCAGTCCGTAGTCCTTATGTAAATCATATTATTTGTAATGTCTGTTGTTTCTCAGTCACTATGTAGGTCTCCAACGTGTTCTCTAGTAAATGACAGAAAATGCATGAAGAATAATCTGAGTAATGAATTTCGCAAGACTCAGCGAGATTCAAATAAAAAGCATTGGTGTCTATCCAGATTTTGCTGTAATCATCCCACAATATCGATAAGAATATGATCAGAATCATGTGAATCTAATACAATCCACTAACGACTGTTGAATCAAAGTAACTAATCTATCTTTATTTCCTTGTTCTTCTGTTACTTAGTCGCAAAATGTCAACTCAACTTCAAACCGACGACCCCAAATCCAATTGACTATAAGTCTGGTCCACGATCTGTCGCCGTCGGTTACTTCAACAACGATACTTGGCTAGATATTGCTATTACCAATTATGGTGCCGATCACATAGCTATATATTTTGGATATGGCAATAGGACTGCGACAAGTCCAGTCACATATCCGACTGGTTACGGTTCTGCTCCGTACATGGTCGCCATTAATGATCTTAACAACGATGATCGGCTGGATATTGCAGTCGCAAACTTTGGCACAAACAACATCGGTATACTTCTTGGCTTCGAAAATGGATCGTTTGCAAGCCAAGAAACCTTTTCAACTGCGCCCTCTCGCCCTATTTGGATCCACATAACTGATCTTAACAATGACACAGCATTGGATATTATCACCGCTAACTACGGCACACACAGCGTAAGCTTATTTTATGGATATGGAAATGGAAGCTTCTCAAACCCAAGCACATACTCTACGGGCTATGACTCTTTTCCATTTGCCGTTGTCAGTGGCGATTTCAACAACGACAAACAGATGGATCTTGCTATCGCCAATTATGGCACCAATAACGTTGGTATAATGTTTGGAACTGGTAACAACACTTTTGCAAATCAAATCACGTTCTCAACTGGTCCTAATTCCCATCCATACTCGATTGCTGTTGGTCATTTAAACGACGACAACACGCTAGATATTGCGGTCACCAACAATGGAAATAACAGTGTCGGTGTTTTTCTGGGTCACAGCAACGGAACTTTTATGAGCCAAACGACATATACCCTCAACGCTACTTCTCCATATTCTATTGGCATCGGTGACTTCAATAAGGACAACCGGATGGATTTAATCGTCACCAATAATGGCACTAACAATATTGCTGTGTTTCTCGGATATGGCAACGGCACCTTTGTAAACCCAAAAATGTATTCCACTGGATCTTCTTCTTCAATCTTCGTTGCCATAGGTGATTTCAACAGAGATGATCGTTTAGATATTTTCGTCATCAATAATGACACGAGCAGCATAGATATCTTGCTTGGCTATGACGAGGTCTTTCCAATTCAAACTAAATATTCAACTGGCTCTCAACCATTGTCTGTAGCTGTCGGTGACTTTAATAACGATACCATATTGGACATTGCCGTTGCCAATAAAAATGAGAACACTGTAAGTATACTTCTCGGATACAACAATGGCTCTTTTGCAAGACAAGTAAAATATTCCACTGGCAGTGAACCGTTTTTTGTAGCTGTTGGTGATTTCAATAACGACACCCGATTGGATATGATTGTCACTAATTATCAGAGTGGCAATGTAGGTGTATTTCTCGGATATGATAATAGTTCTTTTGCGAATCAAACGACATATTCTTCCGGTGCTTATCCGTATGATTTAGCTGTTAGTGACTTTAACAACGACACCCGACTGGATATCGTCGTCACTAATTATATTGACGGGACTGTAAGCGTACTTCTCGGTTATGCAATGGCTCTTTTGCAAATAAAGCGGCATATTCAGCTGGCATTAAACCCCCCGACACATTAGAAGACCCCCCACCCCTATAGTAGAGATGACCCTCTCTTGAATCAACAATCCAAAGGATAGATTAGAAGACCTGCTCACCTGCTTCTAAGGAGATCGTCAGAGGAGATGGGTGGGTCTTCTCATCTATCCTTCACTTCGTTGATTCAAGGGAGGGTCATCTCTGCCACAGGGGTGGGGGGTCTTCTAATGTGTCGGGGGGTTTACTCCAAAGCGTGTAGCTGTTGGTGATTTTAATAACGACACCCTGTTGGACATTGTCGTCACTAATTCTGATAAGAATAACACTGTAAGTGTACTTCTAGGATATGGCAATGGTTCTTTTACAAATCGAGTAGCATATTCAACTGGCACTAATCCAGGATTTGTAGCTGTGGCTGATTTTGATAATGACACCCGTTTAGATATCGTCGTCACTAATTATAGAGACAACACTGTAAGTGTACTTCTCGGCTATGGTGATGGCTCTTTTGTAATGCAAAAAACATATTTAACTGGCGACAGGCCAATCGGTTTAGCTGTTGGTGATTTCAATAACGACACCCGACTAGACATTGTTGTAAGTAATGCTGGAAATAATACCATAGGTGTACTCCTCGGATATGGTAATGGGTCCTTTGCAAGTCAAAAGACATATTCCACCGGTGCTTATCCATTCGCTTTAGCTGTTAGTGATCTTAACAACGATAGCCGACCAGATATCGTCGTCACTAATACTAATGATGCCACTGTTAGTATTCTGCTCCGTTATGATAGAGGAGCTATGAAAAATGAAATTACATTTACACCCAGTGCTGGTGCTCATTTGACATGCGTTGCCTCTTCTGATTTCAATAATGATAGTCTATTGGATATCGTTGTTGCCAATTACGGTAGTAATAATCTAGGTGTTATTCTTGGATATGGAAATGGCACCTTTGGAAACGAAATGATATTCTCAACGGGATTAAAATCTCATCCTTACTCAATTGCAATTAATGACTTCAATAAAGACGGTCAAGTGGATATTGCAGTAGCCAATCATGGTACTAAAAGTCTTAGTACATTTCTGGGAAATGGGAACGGAACGTTTGAAAGTTAAGCAAATTATAGCACTAGTTTCGATTTTGCTCCATTGGCTGTTGGTGTTGGTGATTTCAATAGTGATGGACGTTCGGAAATTGTTGTTGCATATGATGATACTGGTAATTTGGATGTGTTTGTTATATATGATACTGGAGATTTCTCTCATCGAATGACATATTCAGCTGACGTTTGGCCAAAATGTATAGCTTTTGGTGATTTTAATAACGATACTCGACTGGATTTCGTTGTCATTACGAGGTATTACAGTACTGTAACTGTATATCTTGGATATGGTAATGGATCTTTCGCAAAACAAATGACATATTTAGTTGGCAACTTCCCATTCTTTGTGGCTGTTGGTGATTTTAATAATGACTTCCGGTCGGATATCGTCGTCACTAATCATGATGACCACACTGTAAGTGTACTTCTAGGATATGGCAATGGCTCTTTCGCAAGACAAAGAACATTTTCAGCTGGCTATTATCCATCTTTTGCAGCGATCGGTGATTTTAATAAGGACAGTCGACTGGATATCGTTGTCGCTAATTATGATAGAAGCAATTCTGTAAGTGTACTTCTAGGATATGGCAATGGGTCTTTTGCAAGACAAGCGAATTATTCAACTGGCTCTCAGTCATTCTCTGTAACTGTTGGTGATTTTAATAACGACTCCCGACTGGATATTGTCGTTGCTAATTTTGTTAACAACTCTATAAGTGTATTTCTAGGATATGGCAATGGCTCTTTTGCAAGACAAGTGAAATATTCCACTGGTACTTCACCAACATGTGTAGTTGTCGGTGATGTTAACAACGACAGCCGACTGGATATCGTCGTCACCAATCGTGATGACAACACTGTAAGTATACTTCTCGGATATGGTAATGGTTCCTTTGCAAATCAGACGATATATTCAACCGGTAATTCGCCACGCACCGTAGCAGTTGGTGATTTAAATAATGATACTCGACTGGATATTGTTACCGCTAATTATCGTGACAACACTGTAAGTGTGCTTCTAGGATATGGCAATGGCTTTTTTGCAAATCAAATGACATATTCAATTGGTACTACTCCAGAGTATGTAGCTCTTCGTGATTTGAATAACGACAGCCGACTGGATATCATCTCCCCTAATTACAACGGCGGAAGTGTAAGTGTACTGCTAGGTTATTCCAATCAAGCCTTTGTAAAACAAACGACGCTTATAACTGGTAATGAATCTCGACCAATGTCATTCGCTACTGGCTATTTTAACAGTGATAATCAACTGGATATAGCAGTCGTGAATTCAGGTACTAATACTATGGGCATTTTCCTGGGATATGACAATGGCTCTTTCGCAAATCAAATGGTATTTTCAACTGGCTCTACTCCAGTGGCTATTGCTGTTGGCGATTTCAATAACGATACTATATTGGACATCGTCGTCGCTAATTATGGCAATGACACCGTTGGACTATTTCTTGGATACGGTAATGGCTCTTTCTCAAGCCAAAAGATGTTTACGACGGGCTTCGCATCTTTACCCTGCATGGTTGCTGTTGGTGATTTCAACAACGACACTTTACTAGACATTATCGTCACCAATTATGGCACCAACAATGTAGGTGTGCTAGTTGGATATGGTAATGGTTCCTTTGCTGACGTAAAGGTTTTTTCGACCGATTATGGATCTCGTCCATTCTCGGCCTCCGTTGGTGATTTTAACAATGATGGAAAACTAGATTTCGCAGTCGCTAATAAAGATGCTGACAATTTAAAAATTTTCTTACAGACTTGTTAATGTTGAAACTTCTAACTTGCGTTTTTTTTCTCCTATTCACTGTTTCTAACTTCTACTTAGTGCTACTAATATTTCTTGTAAGTTTTTTTTTTACTATTTATCTCTTGATTTATATATTCATATAAACTATGAGTGAGCGTTGGGAAGTGAAACAAAATGTGACGCGTTCCAATTTTGCTTGAAAGTTCCATGAGATAGTTTTGACTTCATATCAGTTTTATGTTAATTCACGAAAATAGAATACTCAAATAGTTAGTGAGATCGATATGAGATGAGATGTGTTTGAACAGCTATCATGATTTAGATTTATGTGGATGTTATGTACAGAAAAGAGTGATTAGCAATGCAATGAAATAAGCAACAAGAAGAACATCGTTCATATGCATATGAAACAAGAAAGAAAGTTTGTTTGTTTCTATTCAAAAGAAAAAACAAATTAATCTTGAAATGAAATGAGATAGAAAAAAAGAAGATTAACCGTATGATAAATATGAAAATAAAAAAAAACTACCATGGTCTAGATTTTCTTTTGCCTACGAGAATCATGAGATCACAAATAATTATATACGATTTTGAAAAAACACCAGAATCAGAATACATTCTGTTATATGTCCATCAATGAAGTGTATATGATGATAATTTCAATGCATGAAAGTGTGAACAGCTTTTGTAGTGAATGCAGAAATTACCATATCGCTCTTGGAAGGGGATGGGATGTGTGGATTGATAAAGAAAAGATCGATATATCTGTACACTCAGCCACACTCCACAAGTTAAGTCTCAGAGAGTAATTCGTTACTTGCACCAAATGTCTATTTAACTCGCTACCAGTGATCGACACCGGAAACAGATGAACTTACAAGGTACTCTCAATGGAACTCACCGTTCATCGCTTTCTCATTTATTGATTTAATCGAAGTTCTCTTAAAAAGTTTGATTAAAATACAGATCTAAAGATAACAATTTCTAGGCAAAATGCTCTTTCGTTTAGAAACACTGGTACAAGTCAATCTATTGATGATTGATTTTGAATGCGGGTGTAATAAATGTGCAGTGGCGATGGTGATAGTTGTCAATGTTGTCTCTTCACGACCGATCATCTTAAACTGCATGTAGTCGATGTATGCTGCATGAAATTGACTCTGAAATATCTTCGTCATACATTCACTATTACGTTTTAATACCCTAAATATTTTTCCCCTCTTTATGTGGATATGGTTTACTGGCTAGATGGAAAGCAAACATAATATACATAATTTATCAAAAGGTAAAAGAGATCCCAAACGCAAAAGATCAACTTGACCCATCATAAAATTGAATCGTAGCTCAAATAAGAATATTACTGATTTGTCATATGAAAAGTACCAGTGGACTTGATAGAATCGAGCACATCTAACACATAAAATAAATGACTTCAAGAAACATATGTGTAAAACTTGAAAATTTGATTCAATTCAAAAGAAAAATTTTACTTTGAATATTCAACTATGTAAATTCAATTTCTATGTTCCTGTTCATATGATAAGGTTCAAATCTTTCTACTTACTTCACAACTTGAAGTTGAAATTCAAAAGTCAAGCTTCAGATTGACATTTAACTTTCAAATTATCGTTGCCAATCAAATATTTCATGAAATAAATCCTAATGAGTTCTCGTCTTGTACACTCATATCTAAATTATTAGTGAATCCACAGTCATATGAGTCTACACAAAGAGGGTGGGCGTGGGTGTGGGTGTGGGTGTGGATGTGGATGGAACAAGAACACACGACCACACCCACACCCATATTCAAGATCGACATTGAGTACAAGGCAAGAGTAAACAGCCATAATCCGGGCGGGATTGGTTTGGGCTTACATGTCATGGAACAAATTTCACAATATCAAGTTTCTTTATGTGAAAAGCACGGAGATGACTGAATACGTTTAGAGAAAAAATATGACTGGACATGGTTTTAGCGAGTGGAATGATGTTGACTTGTAAATATTCATAATAATATATCGGATATCCAAGAAATTCAATGTTTGTAAACACCAGTGTTTCAAGAAACAAAACCAACTGATTAGTTTTTTGAAATCAAAGACGGATTATTTTGAGAATTTTCATAAACAAAATTTAAATCGAGACCTGATTCAATAAAAAAAAAACTTTTGTTTGTGTGGGTGGGTATAGGTGTGGTAAGGATGTGAGTATCTTTAGTAGGAGGCATCTACATCCACATCCTAACTTATAGTTTTTGACTCGTCAGAAATGGGGTGGATGTGGGTGTTAGTGAGGATCACCTCTTCATTTGCTCACACACGTACTCACACCCATACCCACACTCACAGTCCGCCCATACCCATCCATACCCATACCTCGCACTCACACTCCCCCCATATCCATCTACACCCATACCCACACCCTCGCATGAAGCTTTCTGTCCACCAATAGGTATCGAGAGACGCAAAACATATGGAAACAAATAGTGAAAAACCCTGTAATGGTGAAATAGGACTTTTATGTCATAGCTGTAGTAATGTGAAGGAAGATATGACTCATCCATGGATTGATTTGAGTGTTGTAGAGACAGAAAGGGTGTGGGGTTATTTTTTCGATCTAATACTAACCTCCACATCAACACTCACCCACACCAACACCAACACCAACACCCACCCACCCACACCCGCACCCTTCTGCATACTCTTTGAATTCTTTTGTAAAAGTCATCGAATTTGCAGGTAATTCAAAAATTTTATATTTCATTTCTGACCCGATAACTTGAAATTCCCACTACATCTTCATCTACGTTTATTTGAGAAACATACTGCATGTTTAGTACTGTTTGCTATTCGTTTCTGAAAGTAAACGATTTTATATGAAAATAATCTATCTCTTAACCTTCTATTCGTTATAGCAAATATCAGAAGACACATTCTATTTTTCAATAATAGGATCATAGCATTACAGCCGGTTTTATTGATAACTATAAGAACTGGAAAGTTAATGGCAGTATCGTTACGTGTAGTAGTACTTATTTTTGTTATATATAATGAATAAAACTCTTAGTAGAAGAATATCAAGGTGATCCTGAAAAATCTTCAATCGAGAGTCATTAAGCTCGCAAGCATTAATGGCAATAGCAACGGCTTTCTTTATATGATCGAATGCTTCCTTATATCGTTGAAGCCCCTCAAGTGCATATGCTATATTATGATAGGTGTACCCCAAGTCTGGATGATCAGAAC